AAAAAAAAAAAAAAAAAAAAAAAAAAAAAAAAGCAGGCAGGCAGGCAATCCTTGAAAGCACAGTGTGTCCAGAGAGACAAGAACGGCAGGGAAATCCATGTACGTAAGTAGGGCTTACAGATTTCAACAGCATGTTCGACATCTCTGATAGGCTCCCCACTCCCCGGAATCGTGGCAATCCCAAGAGACGATGCAAGTCGCTTGCTGTTCACCTGCAATTCACATCACATACCCATTTCCCAACATAAGGTCAGATACACACAATGAGCACACAACAATCGACATGCATCTAGGTGCTTTCAGGACCCGATAAATTCACAGTGTCGGACTTGTCTGAATGCACTTGGTCCAGAAAGCATCCAAATGCATGTAGAGTGTTGTGTGACAGAACGACGCCCGTAAACAGTGCGATTGATCCTCTGCGCATTCCAGTCCTCCAACTCCAGCCCGGAACTCCTCACTGGTGACTGTGGGATTTCCGAGCACATATCCCCCAGTACACAGCCCCAGCCTCTTCTCAAGCCTACTGCTGGACCACAATGGCTAGCGGCGCCAGCCAAAAAAAGAAAGAAAGCCCGACAACTGGCGGTTCAGAAAAGCTTAGCGCGCAGTGCAGCCTCTCCACGCCCGGGTGTACCGGTGGTAATTGGAATGATGCAGAGAACATCAGTATGGGCCCTGCGCAAGGATGCCACACATAAATCTAGAAATGGTAGGGAAAAGAAAGAGGAGGAAAAGAGAAAAAAAAAAAGAAAAAAAAAAAAGAGTTGACCTATCCATGGGCAACGAAAACCACTCAACCGTCCCACGACTCCCATCACATTTACACTTCCCTTCGCACCACACCCACCCAGGGGCACACCCGATTCGAGTCCCAATATACACAGAGTACACTTTCTAGTGGGTGTTTTATGCACACGACTTCTTTATCATCTTCTGGTTTCAACCCCGGTGCCTTCTCTGACCCTTGTCCCTGCTCTTCTGAGAAGATCTTCTGCCGTCCAACGTGCGACCAAGTTAAAACAATGTTTTCAGCAATCTCCCTTTCGTAACAACAAGGAATGCAATTCAATTACTGTTTCTGTTAAAAGTTAAAACAATAATAAAGAACACAAGTTACCCCTTTTTGGGTCGAACCAGAAGACAACAAACAAGTGCAAGCATGTCTGAGAGGATCTTCTGTCATGTCGTCCAACATGGACCACGACGTCACCACGTTAAAACAACCCAAACCAGACGACAACAAACAAGTGCAAGCATGTCTGAGAGGATCTTATGTCATGTCGTCCAACATGGACCACGACGTCACCACGTTAAAACAATGTTCAGCAATCTCCCTTTCGTCCAACATCGACCACGTTATTATCAGTTAAAAGATTTTGCCTAGAGCAACACAAAAACGTGTTCCAGCAATGTCCCTTTTGCAACAACAAGGAATTAATCTTTCTGTTGAATCTGTTCTACAAAAAACTTGAAAAAAAGCATAATGTTTCTAGTGTACAAAAAGCATAACATCTTGCTTTTACGAGTTGCAAGAAGCATAATGTTTCGCTTTTAGAAGCATCTCTTTCATCATAAAGCACCAGAACGTCAACAGGGTAGTTGCCAGCTGAATGGCATGAAACCCGGTCAAAGACTTCTCATTAAGTCGAACAATACTTGAAATAAATGATCCGATCTCGCATTGATGCATAATTTCAAGAGGTAAATTGCCAGCTGGACCCTCCCCTTCCATTTCCCCTCCCTGCCTTGGATTGAAAACTGACAAGTGCAAACCAGGAGTTCTTGAGGGACCACTAATAAGACACGTCCTCCAGGACATCACAGCCAATAAAATTCGACGAGTACAGAGAGATGATTAGCATGGACCCTGTGCAAGGATGACAAGGAGGAGGAGGAGGAGGAGGAAGAAGAAGAAGAAGAAGAAGAAGAAGAAGAAGAAGAAGAAGAAGAAGAAGAAGGCACGTATGATTGATCAGGCTGCTTTCTGAAGAAGAAGAAGAAGAAGAAGAAGAAGAAGAAGAAGAAGGCACGGATGATTGATCAGGCTGCTTTCTCAGGGAGAGAGAGGGGTCTATGCATGGAAGGATTTCTGGGGGGAGGCAGTGAAAAAGACACCAAGGCCAGCAATCAGACAAGAAAGAAGTAATTTGGCACATTTCCACTGAGAAATCCAGTCACTGCTGTAGAAGGAAAACGAATGGGCAACAGCTTCCGATTGGTTTCCAAGATCACACACCTTATCGCCCATAACTGCCATCGCTGCTGAGGGCGGTCCCACAAATGCAACCCCCGCATCCTCTACCCTCCTCGCAAATTCTGCGTTCTCCGAGAGGAAGCCATACCCCGGATGCACCTATGCAATATGTGCACGCCCTCACACGCGCGCGCACACACACATGTAGGAGAACACATACAAGCTCAGTGCCCCCCCCTTCCCCTCTCCCCACCACGACACACACACACACACACACACACACACACACACACACATGAGAGAGAGAGAAGACGCGCACGCACGGTGCGACACACACACACGCATGCAAGAGAACACAAGCATGCGCAGTAGCACAACCACAAATACGAGAACGGCAGCACACAAACACACCTACATGCACAGACACATGCATGCATACACACCCACCACCCACCCACAGACACACATGAAAGACATAAGCACCATATGAGATCAAATGGCCAACCAAGATTCCTGAAATCCTCAAACCTCATACCGATGAGTGGGGAGCTGAATTACCAGTACGGCAGACCAATAACCAGCCAGCAAGGTTGGTGTTTGCCTCAAACAGTAGTTATAGATGCGTACATCTGGGCGCAAGGCGCTCCTCCGTGCAAGCATGGTTTCAAAGCAGCGACCTCGGCCTCAAGAGCCAACGCAGGACACGGTGTTAAAAGTGGAACCATACCGGTCGTGATCTCCGCCCCACTCCTGCAAGGCTGTAGGGTCCAACTCGACACACGCACACCACACATGGACGGCGGCATTGGACGCACCATGCACAGATGCACCACACACGGGCGCGCCGCGCACAGATGCACCAAACAAGGACGCACCACAAGGACACGGCAATTCTCGCACACTTCGCTCCAATCAGCACGTGACCCCCACTAGTACCTAGCCCGCTCACACGCATGGGTCTGAGCTTGCCCGCAGGTTCACGGGAGCCTCCACAGTAGTTATAGATCCGTACCATACATGCGGGGCATCACGATGCGCTGTACTGCACACGTGCGCCGCACCGCGCATCCCGCACGACGTGCGCGCTCTGCATGCGGCGCACCTCCAAAAATGGGGGTCAAAAAAAAAAAAAAAAAGTTCTGAGGGGTGGTAGTAGACCCGCCCCCCTGCTCGCGTAAAATAAGAAACGGGCAGCCAATTTCTTTTTGGAGGCCGCGCGTCGGCCTGAAAGCTTGTAGTAACCTGTAGTCCGCGTAACACTCTGTGTGCACGGTAGGGTTCTTGCAGTCTGTAGGGTTCTTGCAGTCTGTAGGGTAGGTTCTTGCAGGCCAGATTCAGTCATGATGACGGTCGCAATCTCTCAAAATGTTCTATTCTTATTACTTCTGAAGTAGAAAACGACGGAACTGACAGCCGTTTTTCCTGGAGTTTTTTTTTTTTAATAAAATGAAAAAAACGTAAGGAAGAAAATCAGAATTTCTCTGCACGAGCCAAGCCCGGCGCGTCCAACCTGTCAGAACCTCACTGTAGTGTTCACCAACGGGCTCACTGCACGACACACACGGAGGATTCAATCGGAAACTCTCTTCTTATGGCAATGTATCTTTCCATGTTCAAGCGGAGGATTCAATCTCATTTGTTCAGAGATTCTCCAAAACAAAAAAAAGAAAGGTTCCAGAGATACGTTACGTGCTTACCTGATTCAACAGCCCTACGCTCAACGTATGAGCAACATGGGAATGAATCTTCCGCCAGAACATGGACAGATACACCGCCATATTTTTTGTCCTTTGTGCATGTCACCCCGCTTCCGGATTCATGTTGGCCGTTGACAAGGGCGGTTTCTTCGGTCCGATAGTGTCAGCACACGGTTCAGAGATTCTCCAAAAAAAAAAAGAAAGGTTCCAGAGATACGTTACCTGCTTACCTGATTCAACGGCCCTACGCTCTCCACCACCCAACGTATGAGCAAATGGGAATGAATCTTCTGCCAGAACATGGAAAGATACACCGCCATATTTTTTGTCCTTTGTGCATGTCGCCCGGGGGCCAGGTCCCACTAGCAGCGTTGAGTTTCCTCAACGCCTGAATCTGGGCGTGTCTGTGGATATGTGCAGAAATCGCGTTGAGTTTTCTCAACCGCACATCTCGACGAACGCGTCCAGATTCAGGCGTTGAGGAAACTCAACGCTTGCTAGTGGGACCTGGCCCCCGCTTCCCGATTCATGTTGGCCATTGATAAGGGCGGTTTCTTTGGTCCGATAGTGTCAGCACACGGTTTCTTCACTCTCTCTCTCTCTCTCTCTCTCTCTCTCTCTCTCTCTCTCTCTC